TCTAAGGAAAAACGAGGTATGGATGATGAGTCCTAAAATTAAATAATAATAAAATAAAAACTAATATCAATTATCTTAAATTATTCTAAAAGCAAAATAAATGAAAGAGATAGAAGTGTTGGGTTGTCTCCCAACCAGTGCTTGTTTAAAGTCTTCAGCTCGACTTTTTTGTTGAGGCTAGTCTGCAGGATTGAGTGGCACCGTTGTTTTCTCACTGGAGTAGTCACCTCTCCCAATAAGCCTTCAACCGTTGTCCATTCACTTTGAACCTCCTTTGCTGATTATGAGATACCACTTTTACAGCCCCATGCGGAAACACAACCACCGTGAAAGGAGCTGACCACCTAACTTTAGCTTTCCTGGAAAAAGCTTGAGGCGTGAATTGAACATCAACATTTGCTGACCAACTACGAACTCCTTTTCTCTCATATGCTTATCATGCAACTTTTTGGTTTTTTTCTTATAAATTTTTGCATTCTCATATGAGTCCAACCGAAACTCATCGAGTTCATGAAGTTGAAGAACCCTCTTTTTCCTCTGCTGCCTTCAAATTAAAATTTAGTAAGTGCGTTGCCCAATGTGCCTTATTCTCGAGCTCAACCGGTAGATGACAAGCATTTCCAAATACCAACTTATATGGAGACATGCCAATCGGGGTTTTAAATGCTGTTTTATATGCCCAAAGTGCATCATCTAATTTTCTAGCCCAATCTTTACGTAATACATTGACTGTAGCTTCGTAAATTTTCTTTAACTCCCAGTTGAAGATTTCCACTTGCCCGCTAGTTTGAGAATGATATGGAGTTGAGACACGGTGTTTCACTCCATATTTAGCCAACAATGAGACAAATTGGCGGTTGCAAAAATGTTTTCCACCATCACTAATAATCGCCCTTGGGGTGCCATACCTCTTGAAAATATTCTTATTCAGGAATTGAGTTACCACTCGACCGTCGTTCGTTGGAAAATTCACAGCTTTAACCCATGCAGACACGTAATCTACTGCCACCAATATGTATTGTTGACTGTAGGAAGAGGGGAAAGGTCCCATGAAATCAATGCCCCACACGTCGAATATCTCAACCTCCAAAATGCTGTTTAAGGACATCTCGTTCTTCCGTGAGATGTTTCCAGTCCTTTGGCACTTATCACAATTTTTTACCATATAATGTGCATCCTTGAACAACGTAGGCCAATAAAAACCTGATTGTAGGACCTTTGCTGCTGTTTTGACTGCTGCAAAGTGACCTCCATGCGGTGCAGAGTGATATGATTCCAATATTTGATGCTGCTCTACTTCAGGCACACAATGGCGTATAATCTGATCTGGACTCCTTCTGTAAAGAAACGGATAATCCCAAAAGTAGTGTTTCAGGTCATTGAAAATTTTCTTCTTCTGATGACTTGAGTAATCTAGTGGAATGATGGAGCGGGCCAAATAGTTTACATAATCAGCATACCATGGCGTAGTGATGATCTGAAAAAGCATCTCATCTGGGAAAACTTCATTTATCTCCTTTGTGGGGTGTGGTTCATGTGATTCAAGGAGAGATAGATGATCTACGACAACGTTTTCACTCCCTTTTTTATCTCGGATTTCCAAATCGAACTCTTACAATAGGAGTATCCATCGAATAAGTCTCGGCTTTGCATACAATCACTTTCCACTCGATCAAATATGACCTGAATTTGTCAACAGCGAATACCACTGCTAAAAGCTCTTTTTCTGTAGTCGCATAATTCAACTGAGCCTCGTCCAAAGTTTTACTAGCATAGTGAATGACATAAGAACTCTTTTCCTTGCGTTGACCTAAAACTGCCCCCACCGCGTGATCACGGGCATCACACATAAGCTCAAACGGATAATCTCAATCTGGAAAAGTCAATACTGGAGTAGAGACTAATTTTTTCTTTAAAGTGTTGAAAGACGTCAAGCATTCCTCGGTAAAATGAAATGGAGCCCCTTTTTCTAATAGATTGCACAGAGGTTTCGAGATTTTGAAGAAGTCTTTGATGAAACGACGTTAGAACTCAACATGACCCAAGAAATTTCTAACTCCCTTCACTGTTACCGGAGGTGGTAGTTTTTCGATGACCTGTATCTTAGCTTTATCTACTTCAATACCCCGTGTCGATATCAAATGCCCCAACATAATCCCTTTCTGAACCATGAAATGACATTTTTCCCAATTTAATACAAGATTGGTGTCCTCATACAGCTGCAACACTTTTCCCAATTGTTTAAGGCATTCCTTGAATGACTTTCCAAAGACTGAAAAATCATCCATAAATACCTCAATGATATTTTCCACCATATCCAAAAAAATGGACATCATACATCGCTGAAAAGTGGCTGGAACGTTGCAAAGGCCAAAAGGCATTCTTCTATAAGCAAAAGTATCGTAAGGACATGTGAAGGTAGTCTTTTCCTGATCATCTGGGGCTATAGGAATCTGGTTGTACCCTGAATAACCATCAAGAAAGCAATAATAAGAATGGCCTGCAAGTCTTTCCAGCATCTGATCAATGAAAGGAAGGGGAAAATGATCATTCCTTATGGCGTTGTTGAGTTTGCGATAATCAATGCAAACTCTCTAACCTGTGATTGTGAGCGTAGGAATGAGCTCGTTGTTTTCATTTGGAACCACCGCGATTCCTCATTTTTTTTCAGTACGACCTATACTAGACTGACCCAATGGCTATCTGATATGGGGTAAATGATCCCTACATCCAGAAGTTTCAATACCTCTTTTCTTACCACTTCTTGCATAGTAGGATTTAATCTACTTTGATGCTCAACTGAAGCTTTTTAATCCTCAGTATCTCATGCATGCAAAGCGAAGGGCTGATCCCTTTTATTTCTGAGATAGTCCATCCTACTGTTGTCTTATGTTCCCGAAGTACTCTCAACAGTTGATCTTCCTCTGTTTCTGTAAGTGTATTCGAGATGATTACTGAAAGTGAATTCTTTTCCTCCAAGTATGCATAGCGAAGGTGAGTGGGCAGCTGTTTGAGTTTAAGTGTTGGAGCTGTATAGATGGTAAAGGTTTTATGGGTCCTTTACTGTGCTCCAAACATGGTTGTTTGAAACATGGTGGCATGACTTCCAAATAGTGAGCACATTCTTCTGCCTCCTCATTTTCTGTTGGTAAATCCTGAGAATATACTAAACAAGCCTCAAGAGGTTCTTGAGGGTGATCAAATTTGAATGTCTCTGATACTTCTTCCTTTATCATATCAATCTGCATGCAAGAATCTGGTTCGTTCTGAAATTTGAAGGCCTTAAACACATTGATTTCAATTCATCATCATCCAATCTCAATATCAACTGATCCTTCTGCACATCAATCAGAGCTCTTCCCGTAGCAAAAAATGGACGACCCAGAATGAGCGGGATGTCTTTATTTTCTTCCATATCTAGGATAATAAAGTCTGTTGGAAAAATGAATTTATCGACCTTTACCAAGATGTCTTAACAAATGCCTCTAGGATGCTTGATCGATTTATCATCCAATTGAAATGAAACTGTAGTTACTTTTGCTTCGTCCAAACCTAATTTTCTGAAAAGTGATAAAGGCATTAAATTAATACTAGCTCCTAAATCACACAATGTTTTATCTATATATAAGTTACCAATATTGTAAGGATAGTAAAACTCCCTAGATCTTTTAATTTTAGTGGCAACTTATGTTGGAGAATTGCGCTGTATTCCTCGGTAAGCATGACCGTCTCATTGTCTTCCAGCTTCCTCTCGTTTAATAGAATATCCTTCATGAACTTCGCGTAGCTAGGCATCTGGGCTAAAGCTTCAGTGAACAGTATGTTGATGTGCAACTTCTTGAATACATCAAAAAATTTCTGAAATTTTTTGTCGAGCTTATGCTTTTGTAGCCTCTGTGGAAATGGGATCGGAGGTTTATATGCTTTGACAGGCGCGATTGCTTTCACCCGTGGACTATCTGGTGACTCAGCTTGATATTTCTCTGTAGCCTTGTTCGACTTATCCACATGTTCCTCGCCCAAAATAGGTACCTTTTCTATGATTAGTGGTGGCCGCTTTACATGTATTTCTGGTAACTGGACCCCGCTACGGGTAGTGATTGCTTAGACTTGCTCCTTAGGATTTGTCTCTGTATTGCTAGGTAAAGTCCCTTGAGCTCTACCTGATAGTGCGGCTGCTATCTGTCCCACATGTTATTCCAAGTTCTTGATCGAGGTCTGTTGATTCTGAAAGTTTGTCTCGATTTTAGTAATGTACTAAGCTAGCAAATCTTGCAACGATGGCTTCCTTACTTGCTGTTGTTGCTGCAGTTGGAACCCCGGTGGTTTGTTTTGATTGTTTCCTCCCTGTCCTTGTCCTTGATTATTAGACCATGAAAAGTTTGGATGGTTTCTCCAGCTCGGATTATAAGTGTTGGAGTAGGAATTATTTTGCTGTCTCTAAAAGTTCTGCGCGTAGCTCACCTCTGCAAGCTGACTAGCATGTGTAGAAGCCAAATGGCAGCTTGTAGTAGTATGATCTGCTCCACAACCTTCGCAAACAAGTGGTGATTGGTGCACCATGTTAACTGACTGGGATAGATTGTCCATTTTCATTGTAAGAACTTCCATTTGTGCAGTCAGCGCTGTCATTGCATCCACGTTGTGTATCCCTGCTATTTTCTTTGGAGCTTCCCTGTCGGTTGGCCACATCGGCTGATTTTCGGCTATTTTCTCATACAAATCATAAACTTCATTGACGTCAGGTTTCATCACCGATCCTCCCACTGAGGCATCTACCATATTCCTGAACTCTTGTTGTAGACCGTAGTAGAAGAGATATTGCTGATTTGCGGCCATTCTCCTTGCTTGACGTTGCACTCTTCTTCGATTTCTGAATGTCTTTTCGATTTCGTGATCTAACGGAAAGAGATTTGGCTCGTCAATTAAGTCCTTCAACTTCTATAGTGTAGACTTTGATTCCCGTACTTCGAATTTTTTCATTTTTCGACACATTTTGCTTATTTTCTCCAATTCTTCCTCAAATATTGAGTTTTACCTACAAGATGCAATATAACACAATTTAAGTTGTATTTTACCAAAAGAACAATAAAATTCTATAGTTTAAAGCCCCAAATAAGTGTAGAAAATACACTTACCACCCTCCTATGCATATGGCGTTATGCACGTCAGGTCTTCCCATATAGGATGACCCAAGACACTATTTTTAATATCTCACTTATAATCGTATATTACAATGAATCTTTTACATAATATATCTCATGAAAAAATTCAAAACGATAAATGGAATGCGCAACCAACAAGTCTAAATAGCAGTTCACAATACTGTACAAATGTAATAGTAGCTCATAAAGAGAAACATCTTATCGTGTCATACTTCTTATTTTTCAACTGTAATTCAAGTATTTCTACTATCTCGAATAACAATGGACCATTCTTAAAATTTATTCTATATTTGTACTCGTAGTTATGTCTTAAACTTTAAGTGATTGACAAAACTAGCCCACTGGTGACTAGAAATAAAAAAGCTCAAGTGAAAAGCCTTCACTCTTACTTAATCCTTCACCTTTAAGTCAAAATAGTCTCTCTTTTACTCAAATTCTTTAATTTTAAATTAGTTGCTTTTCTAAAAATGTCCCATTAAACCAATGTCATTAACAATATGTCAAAAGTTCCAACACCAAAATAGAACTTTTAAATAAAAATCAACAGCCAGTTAGAGTCGCACACAATGAGAAAGCAAGATCTATCATTATTTACATTGGTCGTCAACGTAAACATTGTAAGATAAACATGTTATCGTTTTCTCTTTCAGCATGTCATTTTCTCCAAAATAAAATATTATCCAACATTATTTTTTTCATTGTTTCATTTTTTTTTTTGGTTGGGGGGTGGGAATCTCAATTAGTATACATTAATAGTGGTTTTTATGCGGTTTTTGAATTAAAAGAAAATCCATAATTATGCATACTAAGTGATTTATAAATAATTTCCTTGTGAATGTATATCAAGTGTGATCTTATTATAGTTTATTAATATTCAAAACATGGTACCAAGCTTCGTTAGAAAAAAAAAAGGGATTATCAAGAACTATTCAATTTACTTCCCAAAAAAAAAAAATAATAATAATAATAAGAATAAAATGGAATGACTGAAACCCAATCCTGATAGAGAAAATCAGATACTAAAATTTGCGGAGGTAAAAAAAGATAGATGCATCTTTTTCTTCCATTTCAGAAAATCATTGATCACCATTTTCAGTTCTTGAAAACCAAAAGAAATACAAACCATTCAGTCTTAAAAACTGTACAGAGATACGTTTATTGATTTTTGTTTTTGTGACTTGTGTTCAATGGAATGGACAAGTTAGCTAACGACCTGTGAAATTAGATATTGTAGCAGTGGCATTTGACGTTGTTGATCCAGCAGAAATGGAACTGTCTACGGGTAATCTCTTTCCAGAATCGAAAAATGAAGGCCTGCTTGGAGCCTTCTGCTCAACTGACCTATCACTTGAAAGCATGACAAGAACTTCAGACATGGTTGGCCTTGATGAAGCTGGTGATTGTGTGCATGCCAAAGCAATATCTATCAGTTTCTTCACATCTTCGGCTTTATAGTCATTTCGATCTAATGTCTCATCCACTAGTTTCTCTTCCATTCCAATCTCGTGCAGTTTCCAGGCCTATGAAAAAGGAATATATTTAACAAAGTCAAACAATTTTAACGAGCAAATGGAAAAATGCACTGCTTTGGGAGAACAAGTTACCTCTTCAAGTAAATATTCAGTGTCAGATTCATCATTCATCTGAGTGCATCTTCGGCCGCTAATGATTTCAAGGATGACTACACCGAAACTGTAGGCGTCAACTTTCTCTGATAAATGTCCATGAACAGCATATTCTGGTGCTGAGTAGCCCCTGTGCGCCAAAGTTAGCAGTTAATGTGATATCCCTTTAATTTTAACTTTAGTGTAACGAAAATTGAAAGTAAGTTTGAATTCATATTTCGAATCAATGCACTACTTTCATAGGGATATCATGAAAATTCAACCTCAAGGCTACACAAAACTCTGTGATATATAATTCCTATTTGTTTACCAGTAGTGCAATGTCATAAAGTTTTGTTTCTTAATTGATCAAAATCTTACATCTACAGTACTCAAAATGGCATCACTGTGAGAGAAATTAGTCGAATTAACACACATCCAGACATACAAACCACAAAATTATCTGAGCATATGCACAAACACAGAGTAATGTGAACAATATGACAAATATACATAAAATGACTTGACATGCATTGGACTTGAAGGCTAATAAAAGTATAAAACCCTGAGAAAGGTTGACTTACAAGGTTCCTGCAAATTTAGTGCTAACATGACTCTGATTTCCAGGTAGAAGTCTTGCCAATCCAAAATCAGCAATTTTGGGTATGAAGTCATCATCCAGCAATATATTGCTTGGTTTTACATCTCGATGTATGATACATACATGGTATTGATCATGCAAATATGCAAGACCCCTAGCTGTTCCAAATATTATAGTAAATCTTTGTTTCCAACTGAGTGTTCCCCGTTTATCACCTGTCGATCAAGCCAAGTGCATGGATTCGGTTATTAGAAAAACGACAGAGAAGATAAAATTTAGAATTGCACGGATACAGGTACTAGCGTCACTTTATCAGAACTTGTTTTTTCACACAGAGGATGATGAGAAGGGAAGTGAATGTTCTCATTTACTCATGACCAAGATTTATTCCTTTATCTGTTTAACCACCATGATTATAGTACTCCGACTCTCTCAAAAAGTTTTAAGTTTATAAACACATTGAACCTAGTAATTACTCACACTGATATGCATTAAAATTTAATACTATGTGCTTGTTTGGTATATAGCTTAAAATTTAATTTTATCCGCACATTTCATGTGAATCAACAACTTTTCGACTACACATTTCATCAACTTTTTTAAAAATCTGCTAAAACTTTTATCAAAAACTTCGTCAAAACCCCACATATATCCTCCCAGCTTAGAAAACACAAGTTATAGCATAATATTTATGAAACCAGTTGCAGGGCCGGCAATAGTCAGTCATATCTATCTCTTATTACTTTATTGATATATAATCAAAAAATGATAAACGGAAAATACCAGACTAGACTGCAGTCCAGATATATGTGTCGAATACATTTTATTACATCATAATCCTATGACATGTACAAGTTAACATGTAGGGGCGACAAGCGGAAATGTGGGGCGGATTCGGATAAACTCCCGTTATGTCTTGATGAATTATATAATTTGAAGATTTTATATGACTGCTTGTTTTAGCAACAGAGTCTCATTCCAAAAGCAAAGAGAACTAGTTCATTTCACATTTCACTTTTTGAATCTATTCTTCTCTCTGTCTCCAAATATAAACATAACAGATCAAATAAGAATGATGTGTGATATGGGGCCACAACAATGTGGTTATTATCACTATCAAGATAGATAATGTTGACATACCGTATAAATATCTATCAAGGCTCCCATTTGCCATGAATTCGTAAATAAGCAGCAGTTCTCCTCCTTTGTTACAACACCCTAAGAGGCGGACAAGATTGCGATGGTGAACATTACTTATGAGCCTAACTTCAGTCTCAAAATCTGCCTTTGCTCTGCTGATACTTATATCTAGTTTCTTCACAGCAATAATATTCCCATTTTTAAGAGTGGCCTGGCAAGTGCTACAAGTCAGATAGATATAATGTGTAATATTCTCTATTCTATAGCAATTGATCAACAAACTTACAAATCAAAATACTATGGATGTCAGTAAGATAGTCACTGAAGAATTTCATTAGGACTGAGAATACAATTAGAAAACACAAAACTAAATGAAACTTCTTGTATACAGTACCTTGTATACATCGCCAAAACCTCCTTCTCCTAGTTTGTTTTCCTCACTGAAATTGTTCGTTGCAGATTTCAAATCCTTGTAATTGTAGGTATTGGGGCCTTGCAATTCTGTTGCCCCCAATATGTCACCTGCTAGAAGAGATTATATTGTTTAAATAACAATAGAAACTAAGCCCCTGTTTGACACCCATTTTCTTTCCATTCTCATTCTCATTTTTTTTCTATTTCTTCATTTCAATCATACATTTCATCAATAAAATAATATTACACATAAACTAAAAAATTCTCCTTACTTTTTAACCACACATTCTTCCATCAATCACTATTCCAGAATTTATGCTTCCTCCAAAATGGGTGTGAAACACAATCTAAATTTTAATACTTCGTTTCCTTGAAAATGTTCATAGTGATTGAACTTATGATTGAAGATAAGATGCCAATTATGGAAAGGATAACAAATGTAAGGAGATATAAGAAGTTGAACAATTCATGCAATAAAAGTAGATTACCTCTTACAGCTACTTTTTTCTTTCTTGATAAATGGTACCATAGAAACAAAGCAGCTATAATCAAAACAAGACCTGCACCTCCAACTACACCCCCAATTATAGCTTTTTTATTGCTTGAACCTCCTGAAAATACAAATGTCACCAGTTCAATATCAATTTTGCCTCCTGAAACATTGAACTTGAATATCGTAAATGTGGAACTCCAGACAAGGTACTTCAACAGAGAGTTCCACAACGAATAGCAGTATGATTTTGAATCGTAACGAAGTATTTATACAACTTGATCACAAATTCAGAGGATATTGTGCCATAGTGTGAATCCCTTAATCCGATTGAGAATACTTAGAAGTTTATGATTATGAAACCATATATACCAAAACCAAAGCATGGCATAATTCTTACCTCCTCCTCCTCCGAGGAATGGTGTGATATTAATGGTCTGATTATCAGCGAAAAATGCCGTATCAGAGTACCTGATAAAACAGGCGGCGTCAATAGCCCTTCCATCCGCATTAGGTAAACAGCCGATTATGTTCCGATACGCGACTGTCAAGCAATCCTGGCAACCACTTCGGGTAATCGTTTCAGCACATTGCGCCACACCATAAATTGTTGGACCCCCATTGCCTACTCCAGTATTAGACGCTGCAAAGTAGCCGCTAATTCTTGGTGTTGCGATCTCAAGATTCTGTAAAAATGTTGCCGCCGCCGCATTGAATGCAGCTGCCGGAGATGCGGTGCGATTGCTGCATATCTGTACATTGCCCGGAAGAGTAGTTTGGTCGTAGAAACTGTTGCTCTCATACCTGAACAATAAATAATCAAAATTACCAATATAAAATTTTAAGATCCAGCGGAACTGGCTGTGGGTTCGTAGTGGTTGCGGTGGCCGGGAATCTTACAAGAAATTATAAATTAAACACATGAAAAAAAATTTCTCTACGCCAACAAGATTACAATTTTTTATGTTTTTGTTGAATAGGAAGCTTCTATTGGAGAAAAATGGCGTTCGCAATATTCCACTACAATCATTTGACTTTTGAATATTTGCCATTATCATTGCAATTGTCTTTGCCTACCGGCCAGTTTTTGTCCATCCAAAATAATGCATTTACATCTATCTTAACACGGATTAGGTAAAATACCATAATTATTTCTTATCCTTCACGTCGTCACATGCTCCAGAATTTCTTGCTTTCTTCATCTCGCACAGGTGGGGCGCAGAGCAGATTTTTTTTTTTTTTTTAAATCCACTTGTAAAAAGAAGTATTGTTTTGCAAGACCGACTCAATTGAATAATTAAAATTACCTGAGGAAACAACCATCATATATGACACGAGCTCCGTTTGCTGCTGAGCAATTCCTAATCTGAGTAACAGCTGCATCATAGCAAGCCACACAATCAGCTGTCGAGAGATAATTTCTACACTGAACCATGGCATAGACTGGATCCGAAGATCTCGACTGATTCGCAGTCGCGAATAGTTTGTCTTCATTGGACAGCTGATTTCTCAGGTTGGAAAAGGTGGCGTTAAGGTTGTCGAAAAAGTTCCTTATATTGGTTGCGTTGTACTGACTGCAACCCCTATTCAGCAGATTGGTCTGTGGCTGCGCTGTGGCTTGTTTTGATATGGATAACATCATCACCACCACCACCCCTGATATTAGGCTGAGCCACCACCGTGTGACGGCGCTGCTTGCCATTGGTTTGCTAATTGCTGTGGGATGAAAAAACTTTAGGCACAAATGCAGAAGGAAAATTCTGGGTTGTATGTGCGTATTGATGAGCAGGAGGGAATATATATATATACTCCCAAATATGCATTTGTTTAAACGTAAATTAGGACTAAATTCCAACTGGACAACAGTATATTGACTAATTTAGTCTTTGTTTGAGCATCATGAGTGCAAGAATGCATTTTTTTTTGATGTGATGTGAAATGTATGGATGAAAAGGAACAAAAAATTATTAATGTGATAAAAATATTATTTTATTTAAGAATGTACAGTTGAAAATGAGTAAAAGAATGAGAATGAAAAAAATAATATGATTCAAACAGGGCTTAAAATAGACGATCGAGGGACAATGTACCGTTAAAAATTAAAAAAAAGAATTTGCATTGACGTTTAATATTATTTTATTAAAAAATGTGCGATTAAAAATAAATTTTTTAAAAAATGGACTCAATTATTTATAAGATTACAGCAGCCCGCGGATTGAAGAATTGAAGTCAATTTACTTCTTTGAATAATCAATGCCTTAATTTTATATATTTTCTATTCATGTAGTTATCCTAATTAGAAAGGGCTGTTTATTGTCCATATGATTTGACTTCATTTAAAATGGCAGAGAATTGCAATCGTTACGATGAATTGTATTGGGGAAAAAAAAAACATTTTATATATTTCGAGTATTCTCGAAATGTTTGAATATTAAGGTGTGTTATTATTTTCTTGCGTTATTTTGCTCGCTTTGCCACGTCGGAAAAAGAAGACATCTTGGACTATAGAAATTTATTAAAACTATTTTCAAATTTTCAAATTTATTGATTCCTAAGTCACACACACTCTGAATAAATTTAAGGGTCCGTTTGTCCGTTGACAATAATAAAATATTAAGAGCAACGTTTGATGCCTATTTTTTGCAAAAAGAAAAAAAAGAAGTATTTTAGAATAATGATTTGATGGAGAATGTGTGGCTAAAAATAAGGAAATGTTTTGAATTTACATAATATTATTTTATTGAAAAATATATGATTTAAAAGAAGAATAAAAAATGTATTTTGACCAAAAAAAATAAAAATCAAATAAGATCTAAAATTTAAATATAATAATTATTTTGTTCAAACTGAACATATATAAGTTTGTTGTAAAAATTAACAATATTCACCAAATATTATTGTGACCAAGTTTTGTATAATTCAAAGGAAGAACATAGGTTCAAAATTTTAAAATTGCATAAAAAGAATAAAGAAAATGTATTTTGAAAATGGACAAATCAAACAAGATCTAAAATTTAAATATATTAATTATTTTGTTCAAACTGAACATATATAAAATTTCGTGTCACAATTCAATAAGTACCATAATGGTCAAACTTTCAATAATTCTAAGGAGATGCCACAAGTTTGAATTCCTTCCCTATTGCATTAATTTTGATAAAAATTGTAGAACAAAACATATTTCACAATAAATTGGTTGATAAGAGATTTGAAATCGAGACCTCCAATGTAAATATACAAGTTCTAACCAATTGAGCTATAAAAAATGTTAGAAAATAAAATGAATTATCAGTTATATACCCTAAATAATTTATCTATTGTCGAGGGAAAAAAAAAAAAAAAGAAAAAAAAAACTGTTTCTGGCAGATTCAGTACGTCGGGTGCCGAATCATTATCCCTTTGGCAATAAATACTGAATTGGAATTTACTTTGTAGACAATATGATGAAAAGACAGAACACTAAAATTTGCATTTTCTGACGTTGACTAGAAGTGACTCAATAATTTCTCACATTTAAACACAGTTAATAATTAAATAAATATATATGACACATTTGATGATTGTAAAGTTTTCAATTTGCTCTACAAACAATCGAAAGGGTGAGTGGCTGAGAAATTTTAATCAACGACGTGAATAACTCTTAATATTTTGTTGTTCCTAGAATCAATGAATGCTTAGACATGTTATTCTTTTTTCACGTCATTTCGCTCACTTTGCTGCATTGGAGAAAAAAAAAAGGAAAAAAAAGAAAGAGACATCGCGGACGAGAAATTTGTGAAAACAATTTCTATCCTTTACTATTTTTGATGAGTAACTGGGTTAGTCCCTGCGAACATGTAAATGTCATTTACTTCCAAAATCATTAAATTTATTGATTTCTAAGTCTTATAAAATTAAATCAACCTAAAATAAAAAATGCCCTTCTTTGTGTTGTTCTCAAAAAAGTAACGTTATTTAGCATCAAATAGTAACACTTGTGACATCAAATCTTATATTCAAACAAATATAATGATTTATGACAAAGTTAATATGACCTAGATCTGTTGACACTTAGACTGGTGTTCAACTCCACTATTGTTAAATAACATTGTTCTTTTCAAAATGCCCATCTACATTCCTCGCAATAAATAGCCAAAATTAATGGATGGGCCAGTTGCTGAGAAATTGTCTACAAAATATCTTCAAGAACGAGTGGTCAGAGTATGACACTCTTATCCTATGATCCCAAGTAGATTCAGCCCTATCAGAATTTAGTCCATGTTTGACCATTATTATTATACAAAAATAATGTTTTGAATAATAATTTTTAAGAAAATGTGTGATTGAAATTAGGGAAAATTTTTGTATTTACCTGCAGAATATTTTGTTATGTGAATTTGTGTTTGAAAATGAATATATAGTGGAAAAAAGGGGGAAAATTAGACCCACTATCCCATAAAAATAAAAAATTTGAATAATATTTTTAAAATTAATTAAAACATTTAATCACATAATTAGCACGTTCAAAACCCAAAACCCAGAGCCCCAAATCAAACCTCGATTCCTGAAAACTCTCAGACCATAGGGAGAAAATCTTTTATACTCTCTACTTTCAAACTGTTTAAATGCTTTAAATGAAACATCCCGGGTGGTGGCCGTGAGCAAGAGCAAGCCAGTTTCCCTCCTTCCCCAAGTCTACGATGTCGGCCATCGCTGCTTCGAAGAGAATTACGTCCAGGAACTCGTGGAGAAAACACCTTAGATTCCCATCATAACCATGGACAATTTAACGTATTTTGTAAATAAATATTCTAATTGAATTTTGATTTTTCCATGGGCTTCTTTGTTGGAAAAAACTGGAAATAAATTGAATTGTGGGCTGACTTTGGCGCTAATT